TCTTGGTCTTCTGCTTTAAATTTCAAGCAAATCAGATTTTAGTCTGTATCCTCAAAACTAAATAGACACTATGTTTCTCATTATCCAGGTCTAATGGGATAAACCTTTTTGACATATCTCCAGAGCAATATTCCCACTTTTATAAACTTCAATCCTAAAGTCAAAATACCATATTTAAGCACAAACGAATTAAAAATATGCAATGGAAATAAGAACAATTCCCAAAACTCAAATGATAGAAATAGGTGGACATACTGTATGGACAGGCATCCAGCGTTCACTTGCAAGCTCGTAGCCATTTGGATCATCACCAGGAGGATGAAGAATTGATATACAAACACGCCCATCAGGATAAACTGCAATTCATGCCAAAGCTCAATAATTACCATGCCATGAAGCAAAATGAAAGCCAAACATATATCTTTGGTGCATTGGGGGAGGTGGGGAAGAGGGGTGGGGGGCGGGGAGGGGCAGACCAACCTACCATTAGGATGCCAAATCTCTGAAGTAAACTGCACTGTTGGAGGGCTGTTCGGATAGTTGGGAGCCCAGCTCATGATGGCATTGAAAAACCCCCCTTCACTGTAAATCAAACAGTTGCAACAAAGAACAATAACTTCTTTTAGCTTGTTGATTGCAGTTCTTAATCATATCGAATTTAAAGAGGACTGGCTTAGATAAATTGTCCAACAGCGAGCAAGCCCATGAACAACTAAAGCAAAAGAAAAAATCAATTAAATTCAACAGATGATCAGAGAACTTCAAATTTTAATGCAAAGATGGAACGCAAAGAAACAATAACTAAGTAGCAAGATCATGACTCAGATTACATGACCGCCAGCTGAAGACAAGTCAGGAGCCAGCAATCCTAGCATTCACAAAGGATGCAGAACTCCAATAAAATCATCAAGAAACTTTTCAAGTGAAGCATGGATAAATTATTTGAATATCAAATGGACTTTAGGAAAAAAAAATTAACTATCTCTGTTGAAGTTCATATCATTCGTAAAGCCATAAGTACGCTATTTGATTCTAAGAAAATAAATAAAACAACAATTAGAAGAACATATTTACGCACAGCTCTAAAATGAGGAAAGATTACATCCTATTACAAGCACACTATCTTCTACTATAACCAATGTTTAAAGTAATCAACAAAACATCTAGTTGACAACCCCAAAGCCCATTGATTATAATATTTAAACCCAGAACTGTAATCCCTAATGTTAAAAGAAAAACCCAGCAAATAACCTCAAAAACCAAGAAAAGAAAACATCTGAAATTACCAAACATATTAGCCAAATCAATTAAATTACAAAACCCACAAAACTGTTTGGCACAAAACCCCAACCTCTAACCCCTCAATCCAACAGCAAAACAAAGAATCTCCATAATTACCGCAAGGACACAAAGAATCACCAAAATTTCCAAAATAACTCGATCGACGAAGACGAAAGCACAAACTTTAAGCTAATTGAATTTCAGAAAATTAAGAAAAGTAAACGCACTAAAGAGTATCTGGTGGTCCGATAATTGTAACACTCCATTCGAATATGTTGTTCTCATCGACCAACCCGGCCGAGAAACCATCAACCGGATTCTTACAAAGATCTGCAACGCACAGAAACCGATCAATAAAAACGCACTTCGAAATCGAACCAGAAAAAACTCCTTACCATATCTTCTACAGAAGAAATCAAAACAAAAACCCCAAGAAATAACGGGAAATTTAAACGATTGCCGATTACCTTTTAGCTGCTTTTGGAGGAGGAGGCTAGCTTGAGACGACGCCATGACAGGAAGATTCTTAGAGATAGAGAGGTTGCAGAGAGAGTTCTGCGAAATCTGAGGAAACGGAGAGAGAGATAGAAAGCAGACACTATTGCGTTTTATAGATACAGAGAAGGTTCTGAACGGAGACCCACTCGCCCACTCTTGGCTGCACGGGAGCACATGGGAGCTTCGATCTTGTAAGGGTAATTAGTATCGTATTTTAGATACTCCAATCATCTAACGACACGTACTAAACAGAAGCCAAGAGAGATCATCCGGTGTGAGTGAAAGTATCTTTTTTGATCTAATATCGTGGGTTTTACGGGTGTGATATCACCGTCGCTTGTGGGGACCACGCCACCGGAAAAGGCCGTGGGACTTCGTCCGCGTAAACGTAATCAGGCATTAAGATCACAGTAAGTTAAAAGTGGACAAATTTTATTTTGTGTATTAATTCCTTAAAACAATTGCATTTTTTAAATTTTTAAAATATAATAATACATATTTAAAGATCAAATAAAAAAACGATAAAAATATTTAATGAAATGTACAACGTTAATTTACTGTGAACCGAATTATTTATAGTATTTACTGTATAATCTTTAAAGAAATAAACAATAAAAATTATTTTATAATAACGATAGCATTATTTTATTATTTAATTTTTTTAAAATATTTTTCTTGAGTTTGATTATTCCCCAATTCACATTTTTTATATTGTTTATGAATAAACATATGCATAAATGTATCTCCTTCCAGTATATAAAAATATTTTATAATTATTATTTTTATATTTGTATATTGTTATTCATAAGAATATGAGTTCTAAAATAACTGAGAAATTAATAAAATTACATTTCCAAAACTTTTTTCTGACGTTATTATCATTTTCAGTACTAATTTATTAGATAATATATTTACCTTTTATAAAAAAAAATTGTATAAATATATTTCTATATAATTGTGCGCCAAACAGACTTCCACACAAACGTTATGCCAATAATGACTTAAACATCTCACTTTTATTATTAAATATCTATATTTAATGATGACTATAAATCAATAGCCAGATATTTTAATTAAAAAAAATTATATAAATACAAATTTTTTTCTTAAAAAATTTAAAATTCTTGAGTCATATTTCTACCACTAATTAATAAAAAATATATATTTTCCTTCTTTAATTAAATATTATAGATGTATATACATAACCCTGTATATATATATGATTCAGCATAAGCTATGGGCCCACGATTGGGCTGAAAATTTTGGTCGAGCCCATGCCACCCAAAATAAGAAGCACACCAAATAAGTAATTTTTCACTTTCTAACTGAATAATAAAAAAAAGTAAAATTCCTAAAAATATTACAAATCATTCTCAGATAAATCAAACTGAATATCCTAAATTTTGACCGGTCAAACCAAATAAGAATTTCAATTAAAAAAAAAAAAAAAGGGTTCGATTGTAGGCAAAAGTATCTAATTACAAATCTATAAGTTGGATTAGCTTGTAAAATTTTTATTTCTATTATAATTTTAACATAAACATTTATTTTTTATCAAAATATAAAATAACTTAATTCTAGTGCTAACAAATAATTATAATTTAAATTAGATAGTCAAGTAAATAAATTGTGTTTTATAAAAAAATGAGGAAACCAGTTTAAGTAGGCAATTAAAAATTAAAGAAAAAGAACATGCAACTAAATAAACTATTTACTACATACTATACACTATATACTTGTGTAACTACTTTTTAAAATTCAATATTAACAAAAATAAATTACAAAAAGTGAATTTCATTATATTAAATATGTATTTTTGGTAGATGGAATTAGTTTGATTCAAATTTTAACGTTAATAGTAACTAAAACTAATAATTATTAGACTTGATTTTTTGTTTAATAATAGTTCGGGCATGTTCATGGCATAGCACTAAAAGAGACCAAATCTTAAGTCAAAAGAAATAAAAATTTAACCCAACTCAACTTACTTTTAAATCAATTACTTCATAATTTTTAATTAAAAATATTTTTTTATATTAATAATTATTTCAACATTACTTCGAAATTTATAGTAAATTTTGGAATCAATTACTCCAATTTTGACCTTCATGTGTTTTTTTGAAATTTGAATGCTTTTTGGTACATAAAGTAAAAAAATACCATGTGGGAAGAACAGTAAATAAAGGACCCACGTTCGAGCAGAGAGCCCAACATGGTGATTTCCTTTTTGACCCTTTTCAACCTTTTTGTCCAAAAAGTTAAACACAGTGAAGAGCCATTTCTGGAGACCTCTGCAACCTGTCACGCTGTCGTTTTGTATCAGAAATAATAAATTTTATCAAAATTTTAATTGCATTAATTAAAATAAAAAGCAAGGACAAGAGATGCATTGGGACTCGACAAGAACACATCACTAGTAATCACAACGCAAACCACTTAATAAAGCACTAGAAATTCCAAAAACTACACCGTTTTGTCACCTTCCTCCATTTCCAACGTTCTAATTAATTCGTAACAGAAGGGGCAGGCAGGAAAACCAAACAGACATTCATTTAAAACCCAAAAGATTCTTTTTTTTTTTTTTTTTTATTATTCTACTAGTGACAGAATATAATCTTGAGCTCACGTGGCGACGAGCACTCGTGCAAGAGTGACGAGCTGTCATGCGCGTACGTGAAAGTCGACGGGCAAGCGTGCTTGAAAAACTCCGAGAAGCTTGAAGCCCGGCAAGTCTGCGGACTGTTATAGTGATTCCGGCAACAGAGCTCGTCAGTCTTAAACGCCTCGCACCCGCTCTTGCACGCCACCACCGGTCCGTGACCATACCGTAACTGTAGCTTTTCCGGGCAGGTTTCCAGCAAGTTAGCTCGGCAACCCACTACCGGGCACAGTCCTTTCCCCTCGTGCGGCGTCACCGTCAACGGAAGATTGAACCCGTCAACGACGGAGACCCGGTAGGAGGAAAAGTCGTTGTGGCCGTGGTGGAGGCTGAACTCGACCAGGGTTGCCGGAGTTGCACCACCCAACCCGTTGCACTCGAGGCGGTGGCCGCAGTCTCCGGTGACGCAAGAGAACAGCCCGTTGGCGTATCTACAGCCGGTTCGACCCCAGAACCGGCCGGACCAATGCTGGCTCGGTGCGGCGAAGGAGTGGTGGGTGAGGCTGTGGAGTGCGAACCCGCCTTTCTCGAGAACTGGGTCACCGGCGTTGGGTTGGATGGCGGGCCAGACGGTGTAAGGGCAGTTGTTGACGAGAGTTATGTTGAGGCCGGGGTAAGTAGATTTAACTAGGGTGAAGAGGATAAGAAAGGTAGAAGCGAGAAGGAGAGAGGAAGACGAAGACGAAGAAGCAGAGGATGCCATTTTTCTTTCTGTGTGAGAGTGAAGTGGTGGAGGCGATCGTACTTATAGGCGTGACAGTAAACCCGATTTAGCAGCTTAAAAATACAAAAATAACCTTGTACGGATTAAATTGTTTTGTGTCAATGTGAGATAAGAGATGAGGGGCTTTTACGTCTTTTCATAGACACGGAGATTAATCGTCCATCTATTACTCATTTCTGTGTTGTACAGACGGAGCGGTCAAAAGCAAGACCCAGAATTATTTGTGGATTACATTTTCTTTAAGCTGCTTTTTCAAAAGTAGATTAAAAAAAATAAAAAGAATACTACTCTAAAGAATCATTGGCACTGAAGATGTAATAAAATTCTACGATTTCCTAATTTAATCATTTTAAATCATTTACATTTTATCTTTATATAATATATATTTAATATAATATTTTTATTTTCATTAGAAAATTCCACCTGGCATTTTTAATATTCATTTTTACAGTGTATATATAATATATATATATATATTGATTATTGGGAGCTAAAATGTGCGAGATGAATATTAGAAGCATGCAGAGCGGGTTCCTCAAAATTTCCAAAAAATTACGTATCCACCTCCAAAAGGAAAAAATGTAAGTAGTGCACCAAAAACTTGAAAACACGATATTTTTATTTAACATATATTTAAACATAATAAAATAAATAAATCTTATATGTTTTTTAATCTACTTAGGTCAAATAAAAAATATATTGATAAAGTTAATTCTAATTTTTAATCTCTATAAAAATCCTATAATATAAAATTAAAAGTATTCATCATAAAAGAATTTAAGAATTAATTATATTATAATTGATAAATAATTTGTTTTTAAAAGTGTCATGAAAACAATAATTAAATTTTAAATATTTTTAAAAGTAATTATATTATAGGCAAAAAGTAAAGAAAGTTTCAGTTTTTATATTTATTTAACTAAAAGAAAAAAAAAATTATTTTGTTATTAAAAAAAAAAAAAGTAAGAGAAAAGGAATATTCGCATAAAGTAGCAGGTTTTCATACTGGTGACGTGGCATGCCAAGGATATGACATGTCCTAAGCATGTCAGATAATTATGTCTGTTCTTATCACGAGTTGTCCGTTTTTCAACTCTAATGCTTCTCAACTTTTCCTACGCGGCGACTCTCTTTGTGAGCTTCTCAAATTTTTTATTTATTTTAAAATGTTAAAAAATAACTATAAAATTAATTAAATTTAGTCATTTATTATGCTATTATTATTTTTACTGTTGTTTTGGTAATATATAATAAAAAAAAATATATTTAAATACCTGAAGATACAATTAGAATATATAAATAACGATCAAATTAAACAAACGTAGCGTGTGAAACTTCTTTTGCTTCATAATTTAACTTTTACCATAATCATTTTTCAAATTTAAACAATTTTGATGGATAGCGGCTAGCTTGCGTGCCAAGTCCAGCCCTAAAATTATTAATAAATGATTTTTTAGTTTACAGCCCAATGGCCTAACAGGCCTGATATAAGATTCATGGGTATATAAGTCATGTTATACTGTTCAATAACAAGCTCTCAATTATCTAGAGAATTTGTGTGCTTGGGAGTCCCTGATGATTTTACCATGACTGCAATTATAGATTTGTGTGGGTTGGAAATAACAATAATAATGAGGACTGGTTAATAAATAAATATAAAGGTCAGCTTGTATGCACAAGTCCATCGTCTAGTTACCATAACCAGTAAAAGTAAAACATAAAGCAAAGAATAAAATCAAACTTTAAATGATACATATATTATAAAAAAGTGGAAAGTTGAAATATAATGAAAAAATCACAGTTGACTTTTTAACTTAATAAAGAATGTGCTTGTCGTTTAAAATTCCTCGAATAATAAATAATGTTAGTGCAATTTTATCATTTTGGTGATCCGCATATAGATTGTAAGGATTTAAACCCCCCCCCCCCACGCTCACAAGTATGAGGGGGGACACTAACCAACTCACCACATCTGTAATGATATTAAAGTACAATAGTACCCTAGCGAGCACGATAGATAAAATTTTTTGGACTCTACCTTATACTTGGTCATGTTTTCTGTTTACTGATTAACCTTTCATATTCATTGCTTGTCCTATTTACCCGGCGTGATACCTCACTTCGTTGAACTGTTCTTTTACTACATATTTTAGCCTAGATAAATATTTATAAAATAACAATTTGATGTTTAATAAACCTACAAACAAATGTTACAAACAAAAACATCTCTCCACATCTAAAAACCTTCAAATCAATATTCAAAATTCAAATATAAACCAAATAAAAACACCCAAATCGACGTTTTTCTTTATTTATATCCTTCCCATAACTGTTATGGGTATAATCTTTCCAACCTATATTGTTCCAGAATCCTTTCAATTTATCTGATACCTGTTCTAAATGGAGCAGATAAGGACAAATTAGGAGGTAACCCCATTTGCCTTGCACATAAATACTTGGCACCAGTTAAAGACTTGATTCAAGGATTTCGGTGCACAATGAGTGGATTGAAATTTGAACTTTAACCAGAAGCACAAAAGACAAAACTTTGCGGTATAAGCAACTAAGCAGATGTTAAACATGGCATTTGGCTGGGTCCCAAAACCCGTGCCTGACAGCTTGTTGACACACACAAGCACTCAAAAAGGAAATTACTTACAGATATTTTGGAGATTTATTATGGATGCAATGATAACTGAGTATGATTAATAGAGAAGAAGTCAACTCACAATGAGGAAAAACCCCAGATTTCCACTCGTATCAATCTGTGGCACTGAGATTCTGTGATGGCATTGGATTCCCAAGCACTTATATGCCAGCATTCCTATATTGTTTTCAAGTTAAAGTTATGATTATTTACAGATGGGGAATATATATAAAGGCTCTTTCAGACACAAAGACACCCATTCGCAGAATGCATCAGCTCAAGCACAAGATGAAAAAGCAGGGTCTACTCAACCTTCTCCTCGTATGGCTCCTGCTCACAGCTCCAAAATACACTCTTAGAAAAATCAAGGTTCAAGCTAATGAATCAGGCAAGTCGCTTTCTTCTCTTTCTCACAGAAAGGATTAGTGCTATTAATTATAGAAAAATTATTTTCTACAACAATATATGTTGATATACTATCTCATTTTGGTGTTATTGTTAGACTCATAAGGATTAAATTCTAACAGTCACTCCAGTTTTTTTAGTAACAATGAACGTCAGCATTTCATTAAGCATAATACAAAACAGTTTTTCCTAACTTGTTTGCCATAAATGAGGGAAAGGTAGGTGGCTGTAAACATGAGGGTTCCTCTCTCCTTGCATCTATAACTGCTTTTTATAAAGAATAATATCACAGCAAAAATTCTCTTTTGTTTTTGTTTTCCCCCTAAGATACCATAGCAAAAATAAAAAGCAGAAACATGAGGTTTACTCTATCTAAGCTTGTTTAGTAATATCTAATATTTGCTATTTACTATTAACAGTTCACTTCAATCTTCAGCCAAGACAGCCTAGCTACCGCACAAGAAATGTGTTACCTGCTTGGGTAAGCAAAGCTGACTTGACATTGTTTTAGATTCAATTAAACTTCCATTTCACTTTCGTAATCAATAATGCCATTGTTTTAGATTCAAATTAAACTTCCATTTCATGTAGGTAATTTATATGCTAATACCTAAACCACCTGCATCTATCAAATGACAATAGGCTGAGGGGAAGAGGCTTCGCAAGAGCCCATCTGGGCCCAACCCAGTAGGGAATCACCAACCACCATCTAAGCAATAAAAGGATGGACGGAATCCCTTCAGCATAACAGGTGGGTGAGGGTCACTTATATTTATTTTTTTGGCTGAAAATTCAGATGTATTCATGTTAAAATATAACAAATCCAGCCTGTATTTGGTACTTATTTCAAGACCAAGACTCATGTCTGAAGCAATTATCATCATAGAAGTTGAATTTCTAAGTCTAGACAAAATTTCAAAGATGAAGCATGCATGTTAGCTCCTACAAAATACATTAGACTGTAGGGGATGACAGAGCATATGGAGAGAAGAGCTATAGTACCAGGTACCTAAAGCAATCAAGTTTTCCGCAAGATGATATACAAGGTCCAATGGAAATCATACTTTCACCTTCTCAACCCTGCTTGTTGTAATGGGTCCATTTGTTCCACAAAGAATAAGATAGCTCCACCAAGAGCAATTTAAACTAAGCATGATCTTCCTTCCCATTTTCTTGTATTCTTTAGTAACAAAGGGGAGCATTGATGAATATGCACTGGAAGAAAAAAATCAAAAGGAAAACATGCACACTAAAGTGGCCAATTGAACTTTAAAAGGGACCTACAGGTAAACATCTACAATTCTGTCTTAAAAATAAAATACTAAATATTAAATTGCAATCTCATACAATCTTGCTCTTTCTTAAAAGTAAGAAAATGCAGACTTTAACCTATTCAACCAATTTATAACCCCCACCACCAAGAAAAAAACTCCAGCAAGTTCCAATAATCCTGCTTCAAAACAATCTAGTAAAATCATGTGGACATCTTCCTTGTTATCCCACTATTGAACGGAATTGACACATTTGTAACTGAAACTAATTTATGGCTATGCTACATGAACCACGTGGAATAAGTAGTTTCTAATCAACATTTTTTCATTATTTGTAATGACTCTCGAAAATTAAAAATGAATGTGCCCAACATAAAAATGGCCACTATAAAAATTATCTAAAATACATTTTGTTGAGATATACAAGACTCACCTTGAACTACAAATTATTTCAGTATATAGTCCTTTATACAGCACGTTTTCTCTTTGATCGTTTGCTTCTCCTTGGCCGAGAAATGTCTGGAACCTGTTTACTTGTGCTGGAAGCATATACCTCTTCAAGAACCCCACCACCCTGTTTCAAATGTTTCTATTATATTTTTATTTGTAGGGTTTACAAACATCATAACAGGCGTACAATATGTCATCATCTGGATATATCTTAACTAGGGCTTAGAGAAACTAATATGTTTAGATATGTCTTGACTTCAATCTTTGATTGAATATTACTGTAAAAACCACAAGCTTATAACCTTAACATTATGAAAGAAGCCACTCAGTTGTAGCACTCACATCTTTCACATTATAAGTAAATTCCCTTTATTTAATAGCACGTGCTACTCCCAAAAGCCGTGCATATGCATGCATTGTCACACAAAACTAATGCACTTCAAAGTTCAACCAATCCAATCCTACTAGCATGCATGTGCTATGAATGCCAGTGACAAAATCAACTTCATTTTACTTCGAGAGTTCCACCAATGCCAGACTTTGTGGCAGTGGAATCCATCACAGCTTCTGCCACAACAAAGCCAGGACAGGAAGATTACAATTGTGCTGAAATCAACACACAACAGCTAACTCAATTCTGACAGGGATGACTAGCTCTTATGTTTCATTATTTTCTTAGTGATTATAATTTTATCACAAAATACATACACATCCATTAGGGCCCAACTAATAGTGGTTAGATTTGTTAGATAAAATTAGTTAAGTTCTTTTGATTAGTTAGAAATTAGATTCAGTTAATTACTTTTCAGTTATAAAGGGTAGAGTTGCGAATTGATTTTTATACAGAAAATGTAAATGAAACTTAAAACTTCTCACTAGAGCAATTCTTCTTTTCTTTTCATCTTCCTTACTCTTTCTTCCTCCTAAATTCTAATTAGGTTCTCATCTTTTTCTAAATTCTTTTCTGCTTCTGTAATAATTCTTCTTCTTCGTCCTTTATTTCTTCATAAATCAGGACAGGTTCCTGACAACATCTTAAAGAGAAAAAGAGTAGTATGGTCCTTCCTGGCATAGTAAAAGGGTGACATGCGAGGACATTCAAACCCTCTACCACATGAACTCGCAATAAGCTCTTGTTCACCAACGTGAACCGGCTTGTGAAAGCTCAAGACAAAGTGCGTATGCTTTGTATGCGTGTCAATGCACACCAATTTGAGAGGATAATTAGAACAGCAATTGAATACTGCACTGCATTCCAATATTAGGCTCGAGTTTTATAATCCTGGAAATGAAGCAGTTGGTTTTTCTTTAAAACCCCATTAACTATGCATAATGGCCACAAGACTCTCATATACCTTGAGAGTTCAAAAATCATAACATCTACCTTCCTAGCAGACAAAAAACAGAGTTAAAAATTTACCTTGTTCGTAGTCTCTTCTTCATCAGAGTCCTCATCTAAATCAGATCCAGAATCTGGACTCTGAACCCCATCTTCTGGTACAGCCTTGGCCAACTTCTCTCTCTTCTCTTCCTCTTTTAATTTCCTGAACCTGCTGATTAGTATTTCAGTAAGATGACCAAAAGCAGCTGAAAGAACTGCCCGCTGCTCTGCTGCGGCCGGCCCCCGGACTATGTAAAAGAATACGAATTTTGAGAGACAGATCATTTACCTTTCACCAGCCCGTGCAGGCTGAGAAGCTGATCGCTTTGCACGTCCTGCAGTGATTATTCCACTTGCATCTTCACTAACAACAGGCTTTGCACCACCTAATTTGCGTAACCACACTTGTTGTGCTGTGCTGAGAACATTGTTTGTAAACCTAGTGACCACACAATACACTTCAGTGAGAGCACTTGTAAGCCTAAAAATCACATAATACACTTAAATATTATGCTTGACAATTTATACATTTGGACCCACATTATTCAGTTAAGTATTATGCTTGACCTAAATCTTTTTTATCTCTGTATTAAGAAATTTAGATCTAAAAAATTGCTTGACTAGTAAAAGTTGCACGCCTCAAACCACATTTGTTTGGTACCAACCAAATGACCAACATCCACTCTATATAATATTTTATGTCGACTTGCAATCAGAGACCAATGTTTCATGAAGACATTTTTTGCTTCTTTTTTTCTGAGGGCAGCAAAATACATATCAGCATGGGTTGTTGATATGTGATAACAAAGCAGAGCGACATCACAGAATTTGTGACACTGTACAACTGTGTCCAAAGACAAAAATCCTCCCCTACATTATTTAGAATGAGCTATAATGCTCTTAAACACAAAATTATCTGCTTCAATTAAAAGAAACATACGTACAACAAAAGATTGAGCTGCAAGCACGAACATGCGCATAACTCACTGGTAAGTAAAATTGGCATGGAGAAACAAACCAGTAAATGGATAAGCCAGAGGGGACAGACAAAGAAAAGTATCCAATCATAAGCGGGAGAAACTTGAAAACAAGCAATGTGTTCTTCTGAGCTGGATCATCAGTCTGTAGAAAGAAAATCAGGGCTTCAAATAGCTCTTATGAATAAAACATGAAAAAAAAGGGTAAGCAAATGAAACAGCTCAAGGCTTCGCTTTAATCCCAACAAATAAAAAGAGGAATAAAATGGCAGTCTAAAGACAAAGAATGTTTCTCACCTGGGGAGGTTTCATTATCTCCATTGAGACATATTGAGAAATGACTAGGAGTACAGGTAAAACAAGGTATGCAGCGGTATCAGGCCAACCTAGTGGTGGATGGCCATCCTGCATAGCAGCTCCTGTGTTAGTTCACCAATCAAAAGCACAATGTACTAAGAGTAGATAAGTGATCACTACTCTAATAATGAAATATAGAAAAAAGCCGAAGCTGGACCTAATTTGTTATGAGTCAAACTCTATTATAAGAAATTCAACGCATCTACCAGATACTGCTTTCCTGGTTATAAAACAATAAAATGCTGAAACATGAAGAAATGGATCTTTGGCAGTTTTCATTACCACAAATGGAATAAGCCAAGAAATGCCAGATCCACTTTGCCGAGCAGCAATTGTAGTTGGCCCACCCAGAGAAGGGATCCAAAAGAAACCTTCTGTCAACAGTCCCTTAGATAAAAGTATTGGATTATCAGCCAAGAAAGTGCTCTATATTGAAGTCTACCCATCAATGCTTTCAAAAGACAATGAAATAGCAGTGATTTTTGTTACCTCATTTGCAACATTGGAAAGAGCTTGATATAGACCTATCCAGACTGGTATTGTAGCTAAAGTAGGGAAACAACCTGTAGAACAATATAATAAGATGTCCTCATAAGGCGTTAGGCTCAATCAGCATTTATTGTGCAAATGTTCAGTTTACAAGACTATTCTGGTACATAAGGCTATTGCAACTCAAACAAATATACTTAGAGCAGCGGAGGAATCATATAAAAAAAATTAAAGACAAGGAATCATTGAACAAGAACAAAAAAGAAAGTCAGGAAACAAGAAAAAAAAATTGGAAAGACTTCATTATATAGTAGCTAATTTCTTCTCAACGTAGACAAAGACATATTCCTGAAAAATCCGTGCCTTAGCCCACAAAGAACTCAATGACACCACCATATCCGAAACAAGCACGAAATACTTTTAGCAGTCATTAGAAATTCTAGTATTCTCGTCAAACCATAAGATCCAACACCCAGCATGGAGAGCACTATGCCTTAAAGCTTTAATCTCCTTCCTCATCCTCACTCACATCCTCAAATGGATGGAGAAGAAACTAAAACTAGATATATTAAACAAATAGAAACTAAAACCCCAAATGATTCCACAATATGCTGCATAATAGTATGACATATTAACAATGATGACAGCATAAATCTAAGGAAATTAAGAGAATAAATAATAAAAGAGCCAAATGACACTGAGGAATATATCTCTAACGTTGATTATTTTTTTTTTCTAATTTTTATTCAGTGAATATTATGATTGTCAAGAGCCAAAACCTTCCAATTAAAGGAAACTAAATCTCTGCATGAAGTGCATCTCAACGCATGCAAAAAATTGAACATTAAGGTACCTGCCAATGGATTTACCCCAGCCTGCCTGTAGAGACGTGATGTCTCGAGTTGTATTCTTTCCTAAATGGAATTTTAGAAATAAAATTGAAGAGTTGCAAATCACAATTCCAGTCAACAACATAAGTACGACGAATTTGATATAATAAAAAATAAGCCTCACTTGATTTCCTGCATATCTTTGCTGAATGGCTTTAATCTTTGGTTGAAGATTCTGCATAGCTAGAGTCGATTCAACCTGCAAATTACAAACTTTGTCACCTTAAAGGCCGGCCAATGTGAACCAATTATAATCGATAATAGCAATTCTATCTATCATAATAGCCAATCACAAAAGCGATATTTTCTTGCATAGATTCTTTCAATGATAAAATATATATATATATATAGAGTGAAACGTTTTATGTGTCTGTAAGTAGGGATTCTAAGTAGGAATTCAAAAATGAAATTGTGAAATTCCTTTACTCTTAATCTAGGTTGCCACGTATACTAGCACCTGTTTCTCAGTCAGAGATAATGTAGCGACCTTTACGATAACAGTGGGGCAATTATAATAGACAAAATGATTCCATCATTTCCACAAAATATATATGCAATTATTTTCTTGCATCGGTTCTTTCAATAACCACATTGAAAATTTTTGTTGTGTTCAAGTAGGAATCCAAAACTAAATACTGAAACACTTTTCTTTCTTAATCTAGGTTGCCGCAGATATTCGCACCTGTTTCTTTGTCAGAGGTAATGTAGCGATCTTTACAATGACAGTGAGCAATATAATAGCAAATCCATAGGCGTATGGCACATGTAGGGCGGAGAGTCCATCCTTCAACACCTAATACAAATAATAGTAACATGTTATCTAACAAATAATCTCGCGAAGAATACTAATATCCACTGTTAATTATATGTTACAGCATAATTATACAACCATTTGATCTACCAGAATAAATAAGATGCCTATACACGCAAGTCATAGCCATAGATTTACATTTATGACAAAATATAGCATATGCAGCGCAAGTTACCTTCAGAACAAATTCCATAGCCTCCGATATAAACCCGAACCAGCCGCCACTCTTCTGCACGGTGGCGCTTGAGGTGCTGGTAGCAGAATCCACTGCAACCGTGGCATCTGCTAGAGTATAGAGGAGACTTTCGGCTCTGCTAACGATGGCGTTGAAGTCAACAGAAGAGTCAAGGGAGTGGACTGGAGGTATATCATGGAAACTGAACCTCACTCTGGTGCTGGAAAGTCTCCGGTGAGGGAGCGTGAAAATTCCGTGGCGAGAGATAGAAGACGGGAGAGGCGAGCCGATGAACGACGGTGATGAAATCAGAGTTCTCGCCATGAATTCGTGGTTTCCAGCGAGATTAAAATCAGACAGTGAGATTCAATTTCTCATGAGAGAAAGCAAGATATGGAGATGAGGAGGATTTGGAAGTCGAGAGGAAGAGAGTAGAGATGAAGTCTTTTTTTTTTTCTTTTTTAGAATTATCCGTATTTTTATGGTACAGCGAAGCGAAGGCAAAGACGAATCAGCGGACATCTAAGCGCGCCGTTTGTGATTTGAGCCAATAAATGGAGGCCACGTGGCAGAGTAGGGTTTTCCGGTAATTTTTCCATTTCGGTGGAGTTTCTTGCGTGGGCCGCGCCACCGTGTTGCGTTATAAGACACTGGTGTCAAATCTAAACTGATTTGGCATTCCTTCTTTGTAAGATATTTTCGTGTAAATTTGAAAAATAAATAAACAATAAATTTTTAGAATAATTAGAAGATGGATAATATGAAAATCACGGAGACTCTGCTAAGTGATTAAGATTATTGTCTTATAATATTTTAATTAAATTAATTACAATAAATAAAAAATTCGACATGTTAAAACAAATAAAATTAATGGTGCAAAAGGCACTTTTATTGGGGCTAAAGAAATGGTACACGTTGAACTAATTTTCTTGATCCAGAGTACAGGGCTTATAACATTTACCAACTCTTCTGTACAAACCTATCCTTTCATTGGAGCAAACAGGTTCCATTTTCCTCTATGAAGAATCTACATATATCTGTCAAACATTCTCCAAAATTACCATCAGAAAAAATCAAATGATCTTCCCCAATCAATAAGGTAACTAAAATTCAACCCAATTGGCTGGGTTCAAAAATGCAGTTCTTATTTCTTTACAAGCCAAGTATAGAAGTTATGTGAATTTTTTTCCATAAGCTTTTCTTATTGAATGGTAAAAGACTAGGACCTGAATTGAACAGATTGTACCACTGATGCCAAAAAACCAATTATCATCAAATCTATGTTAAGTCCTCTAAACAGATATAATCAGAACGTGCTATGAAGAGGTTATTCTTCATACTAACCCAAAAAGTACCCGGATGCTTGGTAGCTATCTCGAAGCAAGTATACTAGTGCTATTTGACAATGTACAAGTCACCAAAATCCAGATTGAGCAAATATAAAAAAAAACAAAAAAAAACAAAAAAAAAATCAGTAAAATATAAATCTTGTTATAAATTTAAAAAAAAAATGCTAAAAACTCCTTAACATTTTCTTGGATGTGTCCTAACTCAAGATAACAAGAGCTCATTGCCACCAAGGAGTGGCCGGAGGCAAACACGAACCTCATGTTCTTCTCTCCCCACCTGGTGTTTCGGTACCAATATCTCTAGACCTGTTCCGGTTGCATCACCATATGCCTCTAACTTGGCATCGTCAGGAATCCGGGTTGGTAGTGGGATTTCCCTTATGAACTCTCCTGGAGGACAGTGTTCAGGCAATGGATCTGTAAGCTTAAATGTCCTATCATTTCTCTTTATAAAAGGCATACAAGCAGTACTTGCAGAAGATATCTTTACAACTCCATGTGTGAGAGTATTCCACCATGTAACCTTGACCTTTTCTAGATCTGCAAAAGGCAAGCTAATGATTATTAGGTAACCCTGTTCGTCTTCATAAATAGTTTTTGCAGCCGTAACAGGACCATATACATCCTTCATTACCCCGCTGAATTCATGTATCCATGGCGGTTCAATTGGGTGGATTTCTGTCTCCTGAACTCTGTCATTGTGTTGATTGATAAGCAAATAGCAATCTTCATCATTCCCATTCAGGAAAAACTCCTTCTTCCTCTTGTTGCACACAGGTGAGAGATCGATTCCATTACCATTTACAAGGTTTGATGGCCGAGTTGACAGATGCAAGCTGGAACCATTTAGGAGTTTTTTTGGAGGAGGGTTTGGCTGTGTCTTTAATGGAGGAAGGGGTCTCTCAAGCTCAAATACTGTGCTGGGAAGATTTCTCCATGAACAAAATTCACTTGCTTCAGGCGGTACTGTAAAATTCAGATCCCTACCAGTAAGTTCCACCCATCTCTTTTGCTCTTCCTTATCAAGATTCTTGAGATTGGGTGATGACACAATCTCAATCCCATGAACACACTGAGGATTTGAGAGTCCTCGGTAATGCTTCCTCTGCATCCGATGAGATCGAACAAAACCTCGATCAGCACTAAATGGGAAAGGTCGCTCACCGTGGCGCGAGTGTCCATTCATGTAACTCCTCAATTGCATCTTACCCAAAGCATTCTCCGGCCTTTCCTTGAAAACCCACATATACATGTTCTCCATATCATGTTGAACCATGAAAACTTCCAGCTCCAAATCAGTCCTATCAAACCCAGAAAATCCATTGCTATCCTTCATCACCATGCACTTTGATTTATCATTTAACACAGGCTTAAAGTAATAACTAAAGAAGAACCAAGCACCCCATACACTATCTAATCTCTTGGCGCATTTTCTTCCTGTTTTCGACACATTAATCAGTGCATCTGATTCGTTGATTTGAGTTCCCAAACAGACATCAAGCATATCAAACGAATCAGAATTCCATGATTGAGGTGGGGGACTAGGCTCCGCAGATAAAGGGAGATTAATATCAGGTGGCCGAGAAAGAACGACTGACCGTGTCATCTCTCTATCCCATTCCTCGTGAGAAACTGCAATTGAATCCATGGATAATAGTGTTGATGGATGGTGATTCTCCATTGACAAGCTCGTAAGCAAATCTTCTCCCATTTACAGACCTTATTAGCTAAATGGGAATTTTATCTGCCTTTGCAAATACAAACTTCTATACTCTCACCAGAGTCAAACCAAATCACATCGAAATGTAAGTTCGTTTCCCGACCCTAACCCCATCAGACCATCTAGATGAATTAAGTTCTGATCAATAAAATCGTAGACCTTGTTGATAAACAGAGATTACCATCCAATTCCAAATCCAAAAACCAGGAGAAATCGAGAGAAAACGATGAGGGAAATCCCATAAACCAGGCTAATTCAAGAAACCAAGAACCTAAAATGGTTCAGGAGGATAAATCTACAATCTATACTAGATATACAACAAGGAGAAAGTTTGTAGGCATTACCTTTCCGAGTACGGTCTAAAAATTAGAAATCGAGCCAAGAGAAAGAAGAACAGAGATCTCTTCAATCAATCCTCATTTCAATTCAAACGAGCAGTAGAACACAGAGAGAGAGAGAGAGATAAGAAGAAGAAGAGAAAGGGATTGGAGAGGAAAGTGTGCAGGTGGTAATAACAGCCTTGGCTAACCGGACCGTTTCGATATGACGGACAGGCTCGACGATGAAGAAACGACGCCGTGGAATTCGATGAAGAAAGGAAGGAGACGGTGACGGTGACGGCTTTTGGTCTTTTTGTTGGGCGATTATTAGTAGGAAGGAGAGACTAAAGTGACGAAACGGTGACAGCAAAAAGGCCCTAGACTAGTCAGCTCTTTGGGATAAGATTTTCCCGAGTTGTTTGATTTTGCATTTCTTATGATGGGCCTCTTCACAGCAACACCCGGTATCCCTTTGGGCCAAAAATTAATCTTTTTTAATATGCCATTTGATGATTTACTTTTTGGAGCGTTGCTTCTGCTTTTTCTGAAGAAGAATTTTGGTTCTAAATTTAACCAAATTATTATTTTAATTCTTAAATAACTTGTTATATTACATCTCAGAAAAAAAAAAAAAAAAAACCCTCTCCTTATAATTTAGTTTTTATATATATTTTTAAAATTTGTTTCACTTCTCTATCTTTATACAACTTAAAATTTTAATAGATAACAATATTTTGAAAAAGAACTAAATGCTCATAAAAAGAAAAAAGGAGAAAAATAATATTACTAAGACTTTTTTAGCAATTGAAATATTTTATCACCAATTTCTGCACATTAAAATTTACTTTTGGAGAGACTATTAAGAGTATTGATGTCCATATATAATGTGTTAAAAGTAAAATAGAATAGTCAAAAACTAAATTGGTAAAATAATGGTCTGTTATTTATACTATTTATTTTTTTATATCACATTAAACACCATACGGTATCTGAAAATTGAACTAATATTCAAATAAACCAAAAAGTATTGTGTTGATAAATTTGATAATTAAAAAATTTAAATAAAAATAAATAATACATAAATCAATGATTATTTTAGGCAAAAATATAATTAAACTTGGGGACAAAATTCATCTTGACAATATATTCTTGTGGGGCCCGCCCCATAGACAGCCCAATTCAACGCCACATTGATAAGACTATTTTAATTAGCATCACAAATTAAGGAAAGTCAGAATTCTGATAAATTTACCAAAAAAGAAAAAGTAGCATTTTGAAGAACTCCTAATAAATGTTTTCTTTATGGAAAAAAGAGAAGGAGAAAATTTAAAAGCTCAATTGTTTCAGTCTAACATACTACTCCTACTCTCCCAGCACACTTGATCAGTAGAACCCGCAGAGAAAAAATCAAAGAACGGTCTCTCACCACCACCCCCATGATGATCAGGATCATCAACGACGACGCCGCCGCCATTACCAGTCTCTGATGAAGAGCTCGAAGGAGTACAATTGGAAGTTTCTGCGGAAGCCAACCAAGTCAAACCACTTGTTGACTTTGCTTGCAAAATCCCACTCGGCTGCAATGGAAACAGAGCCAGGGTTTCTTTGTCATTAATCTGATGCTCATTAGAGTTGAATATCGCATCTGGTAATCCATTGTAACTTTCGTGGGTCGGCAGCAGTAGATTTAAGTCTTGGTGGGGGAAATCATGTCCTCTAAGTTCGGAAGTTGGTGGAGTCTCTGGTTTCTGGTGATCGGAGATTGAAGATGATCTCATGGAAAATCCACCTGGAAGAAGTTTAGGACACTGATTAGGGCATAACCCTAAATCATGTGAGTGTGGAAGACAGTACGGACGGCAAATAACTGCAAATACAGAACCCAACTATAGTGATTTCTGATTATCGTAAGTAATATTAATAAACCAACGTAAAATAAACATGCAAGAGATAACAATATATATATGTATATGTATATTTTATATTGCATGATCGATGCCATCTACGGTATTATAGTTTAAGGCCTAAGACGTATATATACACATATATAACATGTGTATTCTATCTCTCTTTGTCGCTCTATATATGTGTACCGTTCATAAAAATAAAGCAAAACCAGTATAGAATTAAGCAAAATAACAGGCCTTAGAAAAAAATAAAAGAGCAAATTAGAAGCTTAGTAAGAGACCATAAAAGGCAGAAATTGATATAATATACACAAATGCAAGCGCATATACATGTATATTAACTTGGGCGGAAACTTTGGACAATGTGTAAAAAGTCGTCTATAGATTTATTAGCAGAAAATTTATCCAGTGCTAATAATAAAAAAGAAGTAGCTAGCCTCTTAGTAAGAATTGTTTAATAGTTCTTAAAAGAGGAATAAATTTAAAATTCAAGAAAATAAAGAGTACTGAGGAGAAGAATTTTTACAGAAAATTATGAGTTTATGAACTCTAGAATATAACAAACACCAATAGAGAAAGAGACACTTTAGCACATACACAAAAACCGAGTCCATTTGCATGTCGAGACAGCTTGGAATGAAAACACAACTACGAAATAAAATAATACAATACACAACTCTATGTACACATACATGTATGTATATATATAATGAACAGTGAAGACTAACCATTGGGAGAGGAAGTGGGATAGAGAGAGTGAGCGGTCTTTTGAAGAAACCTACTGAAATAAGCAACACTTTCCTGTTTTTGCTTCTGCCTTTGCCTTGCCTTATGGTTTTGAAACCAGTAAAACACATTTTTGCCTTCAATGTGACCAAAAGCTCTAAGTCTTCCAGTAATCTGCTGTATTTGCTCCGCACTGGGTGTTCTTATCCCCTGCGTATAAAGACTTTCCAGCATGTTTATCTGCTCCTTCGTAGGGTTCCATCTTGAAGTCGATCCAGTTCCTCCTCCACCTCCGCCAGTACCACAAACTTCCATGTTGTCACCCTCCATTTTCTCTTGAACTTCTTCGAAGCAAACGGGGTAAAACCTCAAATGGGTTATACTCAATTTCTCGTCTTCGAAAATGGGTGTGAAGGGTTTTGACCGCAAACGTTAAGAATTCCTTAGTGTAACAAATCTAGGGTTTAGGGAGAAAATTAATAACTGAGAAAAAGAGAAAAATAAGAAGAGGGAAAAAAATGCGTGCTGTTTACTTTATCTTCTGCATGGTTTTTGCTTTCATTTATAGAGAATCAGAGAGAGAGAGAAGGAGAGAGTCAAAGGAGAAGAGATGAAGGGAGAGGGAGAATGGATTGACATGCGTATTGTTTTTGGTGATTAACATCTCTGAAAACATGGCGGGTAGCGGCTGATTGGGTTCTTGGTTTTCGTCGTCTTCCTTGAGAGAGCTGAGCAAATGAAATGACGAAAATACCCTTCATCTTTCCTCCTCTTTTAAAATTATTAACTTACTAAATTTAAAGTAAATTACAAAAAACTTACCTTGATCATACTTTAATTTTCACAATTTTTTGAAGAGTTCCGTAAATTATTCTTATTTTCTATTATTATATATAATTTTAGCACACTACGAATAGTTAAATTTTTATAATTTTGAGTAATAAATTATTAAAAAAAATAACAAATATTGGTAAATTACGAGAGGGTAAAAATGTAATTTCGGGATAAAATGAAAGAGTGTGGTTAGTGTTTTTGACGGTGAGTTGAAATAGACATTTGGTGGGTAATGGTTTAAGAACCACATGCATCTCGGGAATGACAGAGAGAAGAGAGAAGAAGGGAAGGGGAGGGTATAAATGTCAAAGCGGTATAAAATAAAAAAAAGACAGCCGGTTGGGTTGTAAGGTTGTAGGTAAGGCCTTAGGCTTTGGGAATTGAAGTACTGAAGACCAGATTTAGAGAAAGAGAAATATGAAGTTCAATCGTCTGGATTTTTTTTTTTTAAAATTAAAAAAAAAAAAATTGATGGGTTATTGATATGTTGTGTTGATTGATTTTGAGGATGGATTATGAAAATTTGATGTGATATATATTTGTTAAATAATTTTAAAATTTATTTTTTATTAAAATTTAAATTATATGTTATTTAAAAAATTAATAAATAATGAAATTCTTTTATAAAAATTTTATTTATCCCGTAAATAATAAATTTTATTCATAAAAATTATTATTATAGTATATAAATAGAAATTTATGTCTATTTTTTATATAATTTATATTAAAAACTTTTTAAAATATTGGTTTTCTCTATTATTTTCTTCTAAATTTATTCTCATTCTTATTTTTCTCTTCTGCAATTTTAATAATATTTGAACATATACATATATATATATATATATGTGTGTGTGTGTGAATGTGTGCGAAAAGCATCACAATTCACAAATCATACTCAAGACGGCAATGACGCGGTGCAAAAGCATATACATGTATATCGAACGATATGCATGGCTCTATTTAAACAAATAATAATAATAATTAGAGGATCATTAATTAATCACGAATCCCAAATTAAACCATAATTAATATTTTGAAATTCTTGAAGCTCACTGGGTTATATTAATTATCTCAATAATCATTTTTATCGCAAAAAATGAAAATAGGGATGCGCCACGGATTAATTGGGGGATGTGCCTGCCAACTTCTAATTCCCAAGTTAATATTTTGTCCAATCTTTTGTCTTTTGTCCACTTTCTATCAAATTGACTGATGTAACATAGATATGCATGTATACTTTTAAATCTAAATTTACTTTACTTCTTTATATATATATATATATATATTTTTTTTAAAAGTAAATTAAGTTTTATTGAACAGAACAATCTAATATATCATGGCTGCATAATATCAGGACAATCCAACCAAGTCCATCTCAATTGAAACATTACATTGTGAAGAAAACAAAGGAAAATCATTACGGTAAATATGGCTAGCACAATATTTTGAGCTTTTATGCAAACATAAACTATTGAAATAATGCATTGAGACAATTCAAGTATGAGCCCATGCAACATGATCAATAATTATTTATACGAAAAACCCACAACACCGTCCTCTCTTTATTCATCAAACGAATCAACAGGATATTTGAACTCGTAAAGATATATACACGCCCAACATGCTTTCCATTGCTAGTCACGTACATTACTTGCCTCTCGCACTAACTTTGATGTATAACATCAGTACTCGACCAAACACATCATTGCGTGTGCCAATCACCTTAGCAATGTACAATTTTTATTTTTCTTTTTGTGCTTAAAAATAGTCATGAGTATTTTTTTTACATATTCAAATGTCATAAATTAGTCTATCATCTTCTTATGTGTATAAAAAATATAAAATTACATTATTAATTCAACTAATTTTATCACTAAGATACCTTATTACCGCTTGATTTCTTATTATTTTTAGAGTTTTTATGATTTCTTTACATCGTGACACCAAAATAAGCTCATTAACTTGCCAATAACTTATAGTCGCATCTACTTTTAAAACTTATTAATTATCGCATACTTGTTACTTTGTATTCCACTATTATGTTATACTGGGTCTTGATTTATCAATAAAATTATAAAAAATAAAATATTTATATTTTTAGTTGTTCATTAACAGTAATGTAATATATAAATTTATTATTTACTTTATTTACTAAAAAAAAATGTATATAAAAATTTGATGAAACTAGACCATGCTATATAGTTTCATTCTCTCATGATACCATTCCTTGTCAAAGGAATCCACCACAAAATTTCTCTCCTTATTCGTGTTAGTGATGATTATTAATCTCAATTTGTCCATTTTTATCCTTTAATTTATTATTTTGTTTAGTCCTTAAGGAACACTATGATTCATTATCTATGGAACCCTTGTCTTATAATCACTTTCAATGATCGTAGTTCCATTAAGTTTACACATGGATTTAGGACTATTACCACATATGTTTTACTTATGGCCAATAATTCTACAATGTTAGAATCTTTAATTCCTATGATTTTTGAGAGCAAATATCTAATTCACCCCTCATGATTCGTCAGATGTCTTCTTGATAATTGCATGTAGCGATTTATCTTAAACGAATACATCACTTTTAAATTTCATAATTATCTAATGATTTGATATAGTTAGCTTCTAATTTGAGCAAATATTTCAATATCTAAAATTTTGAACTAGAAAAATTATTTTAATTTAAAAAAACAAAAACAAAAACAAAGAAGTGATGGATTGAGTAATTTAATTAAAAATTAAGAGGGTAGTTAGTAACTTGGTGCTTAAACAAAGAAAAAGAAGAAGATGATATGCAATTAAGTTATGTATATATATATGTAGCTAATTAAACGGTATTCATGCATGCATGTCAACGATCCATTAAAGCCCCGCAGCCGCACGGTCAATCAAATAGGGAACAAATGAGCCGATGATAGGCTGCTGTTGATGCTTAAAGCAAACTGCTGACTCTCATATCTTAAATGTTAGTCTATAGATACACATATATATATATCTTCTTGCGAGAAAAAGGTCTCTATATATATTTAATTATATTGGATAATAAAGCGCACGTTCTCTAGCTATTAATCATTATATAGATATATACAATATAAGCGTTTATATATAATATATTATACTGGAAGCGCATGTAATAATATACATATACACACACACCTTACTTATTGATTTGTTAAAAGTAATTGACTAAAATAACGTACACACAATATTTACGTTTTCTAAAATTCTCTGTAATTTAATTTTGTTAAATGTCAGTAAAAAATACGAGTATAATATCTTTGATGAAAGAAATACAAATATAATTAATAATAGAGAAATGAATATGCATGTTTATATATACATATAATATATATCTGTCATGCATAGTCTTTTAATAAATTATACAAGTGTGTGTGTATTCTATATAGGTTTTCGAAGCCATTAAAACCCAAAATACGTACAGAAATTATATTTCTGGAGGATTATACTATTATTATAAAGCTTATATATAAAGGGCAAAGAATATTATAGACATTTTATATTTTATAAATAATAAATTATCATAATAATTATGAGTTACAGGTAGTGCCGGCCCGCAACCTTTAAGCGCCACCTCGTGAAAGCGCAGCATGCAATATTACCCTCAGGCTCGGCCTGTTCTCGGCAGCTTCGTGGCATTGAATACGATGCAGACTCATACTTATATATATGGTTCTGAAGGGGTAAATAATATATATGTATATACACACACACACACATATATATATAGGTGTTTGTAGGCCTCTGCTTTTTCTCTACGCTTGCTTGCAATACGACAATGTTCCTTAATAAAACTCACACTCCAATACTCCATCTATTTGGCAGCATTTAAGTTGGCTTCATCATCTTTATTTGATAGCTTCTTCTGTTTTTTTCTAGAGGAACTTTGCCGTGATTTTGGATTTGTTATTATACAATTAAAGTATAAACCTTAGAACATTATGAAGTCAAAATTCTGCATAAAAATTAAATTAATTTTATTATAAAAAATAAATTGGGTACAAGGGATTTTTTTTTTAATACTCAGTTATATATAACGAACACAAACAATTTAAATTCTGAAGTTTAATTTGCTTCTAAATCCAAGTTAAGATGGATTGTAAGAGATCACACCTAAAAGATTTGAAATCATTACAGAAAAATTAGGTTGAATTCTATGTTCTAATTATAGTCATAATTAATTAATTACGTATGTTGAAGTTGCATTTGGTTCAATTTTTATTTTACTTTTTGTTCTAACATATACAATTCATTCATAATATATATAACTATATAAATACTAGTTAATTTAATTTGAAAATAATGAAAAGACAAACAGGCATGGATTTTATGCAAGTAATTCTGATAGACACCTGAATAAAGCTAATTTGTTTTGCAAAAAACTAGGGTGGCCAGTCCTTGAAGACGATACATAGTATACATATAATATAATATATATATATATAGAGAGAGAGAGAGAGAGAGAGAATATT